TTCTTTTTATATCCTATCACTGTTATAGCAGAGGCGTAGCCAGAAAATCCTAATAGGGGTGGTTACTCAATAACCAATGTACATTGAGGGGTGGCCGAAAGGCACCAGAACCTCAGGGTCAATCTACACTGTTCCAACAGGAACAAGTACAACATCCATATTTTCTAAATAAAGACATTATACTTCCCTGCAGCCTCTGCTAACAAATAGACACATATATTTAAACATCTATGCTGTGTAAATAAAAGGTATAGTGGACAAAAGTCTTTCAGGTTCGAGTTCTGGGGCTACCATATTTTAATTGTCATTACCTACTTTTATCAATAATCATTCTGCAACAAAAAAAATATATATATATAAATCTACTAACATCCACATTTAATGAATTTGTATGTTATTCTTAATATAGTTATTTATCTATGATTTTACTGAAGACTCCTAGATGACTTGCAGAGGCACATTATTTTATCTTTACCCCAAATAATTCAAAGTTTTGTTTTGCAAAGAGCAGGAATTATGTTTCTATCGTCTTTAATGTTTGTATATTGATGTGCATAATTAACCACAATGTTTCTGTTGTCAAGTAGTTGTTAATATATAAAAAAATTAAATGTTTAATAAGTTTGAACATTCCCCTTCAGAGTATTACTGCTGCCTCCGTCTGTATTAGAGGGGGAAAAATGGTAGGGGTGGCCTAAGGGTGGCCATGCCAACCCCTGGCCCCCCATCTAGCTCCGCCCCTGTGTTATAGTACCACGTAATAAGATTTAAAGTACATATCAGCCAGGCATACTCTCCACGTGTAGAAGCAGACTCACCAGAGATTTATCCTTAATTCCCATTTCCCTCTTCTCTATCACTTTTTCCCATTTTTTTTTACTTTCTGCCTCACTTCTTCCTCTTCATTTTTTCCCTTTGGGCCCAGTTCCTATGTGGATGGCATTTGATATAATACCATATTAAAGTCCAATAAAGTTTTTTTGTATCCATATAAATATCAAGAGGAGCAGAAAAGCAAAAGCAGTCATGCTCCACTTGTAAAAGTAAATCTTTTGGGCTTTTCTTTGGCACTAAGAAAGCAATTCCCGGTGGTACAATTCCAGAGAGGGCACATTTTAAAATAGAAGGATTTGTATGCCAAGAAACCTTCTCAGTATTAAACAAATCTTACTTTGTATGCAGATTATTTTCAGAGATTGTTTGGATATCTTCTTCTTTACTGTGTTTAAAGTACTAATTCCAGACCATATATGTCATTAGCTTGTAAGGCTATTAGTATTCTGTATGCCATCTGTACATTTGTACTCTCAAATCATAGTTTTAATCTTGGAACTAGTAAATGGTTTAATGTCCTTATATAAATTTTGACTTCTCCAGCTGTCTTTTGGCAAAATTTTCACTTTTCCTTTACAGAAATAAAAAAAAAAAAAAAGCAATATACTTAAAGAACAGATATTTGTGTCTTAACATTCACCAATAATATACCGTATACATATAAGTTGTATATATTTACATTTATATGTAGTTTGAATTTACAGAGCAATCTAATGCAGATTAGACTGATTTCAGTTGGGTGGCTGTTAAACTATGTGATAAAATGCAATCTAGATTCCCAGATAAAGAATAAATAGCTCTTTAATTAAGGTTGAAATCAAATCTTAAATCAGATAGAGATACCAATGCCCCTATTACAGAGCAACAGATGGCAGACATATAGTCTTACAGTGATTACAGAGTGGGAATCAGGAGTTTTGCCTTCAGCCGTACAAAAGAAATTCAAAAGATAAACAGAAAACTCAGTCAGGCTTCAACTGACTGGGAACCTTTGTGCCCTCCTACAAAAAACAAAAGATGCCCTGGGCTTAGAGTCTTATCGCTCATATGAAAATCTCCACTGTTTTGACAAGAAAGATTTTATGTTAGGCATCTTAATGGTCTTAATGATCAGATCTCCCATCAGATACCAATATTTCCTTTATTGATATATTTAATACTGCCTTTAGAAAGGTATAGGCTTTTATAAAGATATATGGAACTATTGTTTTTAAAGATTTAGAGAGAGATTTAAAAAATATTGTTTTGCTTATTTGCAATACAAGATATGAGACTGTAGTAATTTGAGAACAATATAGTAAATAAAGTAGAATAAATTTGATGTTTTGTTGTTTATATTTTAGATTTTTCAGATTATTCAAGAAAATTAAAATGTACAGAATCTATCGTTAATCTGAATTTATAAAAAAAAATAATTGCACAAATCTTATTATTTAATTGGTTTTGCAGTTCAAAATAGTTACATTCAGCCAAGAAGTGACCCAAGTCAACAGAGGAGGGGGGGATTTTTCTTTTAGTGAAAAAAAAAGTGATTTTTACTTGCGGGTGGAACTGAGAAGAAATTTGAGCAGATAATATCACAACAAGTAAAAATGAAATAATAAGCCACAAAAAGTCGTCTCCTATCTAACTTTCCAGCGGCATTTAATAATATTCTCTAGAGACCTGGCTACAAGAGAAGAGAGCAGAAAATATCAAAAAATCACACAAAAGACCTATAGAAAACACACAGCTTCCTTAAGGAGTACAGTCCGCTCTGTCCCTTCTTGTAGATAGCTTCACATTTTAACTTTCAGTCCAGTCAGTTGTCCTGGTGAACACCGTTATATTATCCCTCCACCACCTCCACTTCTTATCCAATAATGATAATGGAATTTAACCTCCTGTTTCTTTTTAAATCTGATATAATCTCCCTTGTTTTATTTACATTAATGATTAGATGATGAGTTTTTATGGGTATTTTGTCTTTACTTTTTTGCAGTTTTGTTGGGAACATTTCTGGGTATTCCTGCTGCTTTTAGTTGTTATTTGTGCACACATTTCAGTTATGATCAGCACCTAGCACACATTGTAAGAGGGTTAAGTTATCAGTACAATATTTTAAAATAATAGAGCCCAGTGTGAGAACTTTTAACTATTTTTCTATTTCATCAAAGCCAAGTCACACATTTTTACATCTTGGGTTTCTGCAGATAAACTTTGATTAATGTTTATATCACATTGAAAGTATAGTAAACCTCTGAGGTTTCTATTATATGTAATTCCATAAAATGTGTGTGTGCGTGTGTGCGCGTAGGAAGGGTGTATATTGTTATCTATTTATGTTTGAAAGGATATAAAACAGAGAAACTCGAATAGAAATGACTGA